AGCGTTTCATGTCGAAGGTAAAGACTCCAACTGGAAAATCTGTCTCTTTGGAAAAAAATAGTTGCGCGTTTTCTTTTTTCGTTATAATTTTTTTGCTCTTCTTGGCGGGCCTGGCCTCCTTTTTGTTGGGGTCCGTCCGTTTGTGTGGTGGAGCTGCTGTCGTCGCAGCTTACTGCGTCCCCGCTTCTCGAAGCCGCACCTCCGCGCCTTCTTCGGCGTCTCCGCCGGCTTGGTGAGGACCGATTCCCGTTGCTCCCGTTGCAGTCTGTTGTCAAAGCTCTGCGAAACAGATATTGGGTAAGGACGACTTTGCGTTTAAACCGTGTTGTTTCAAGGGTTAACTGTACATTGCCCTTAAACTGCCACGTAAAAAATCCACCGGACGGGACGTGCGAATGGTTGAAAAACTAAATGACATTGTCTAAACCCAGAAAAAATAACACCGAACCCGTCTTACCACTTTGGTTAGAAGGCTGCTTGCGGGTCCTGCCTCTTTGCTGGGCTACGGTGGCTCCTCGTGGTTTTGACTTCTGGAAACCGTCTTTAACGCATCGCCGTGGCGGAGTCATCTGCAACCCGGCGGGGTTGACAAGGCTGTCCCGGTTCCTCCCGGCTTGTCTTGGAGATTGGAGGGATATTTTTCAATAAAGTGGAATTTCAGAGAGGCGCGGGTCGTACATTTTTTGGTCCACTTTTGTTTTCATATTCTTCCAATGCTTAAGTTCCGTTTTTTTTTTTACTTTTCCGCGACTCTACTAAGTGCTGAAACTGGGGGACGTTGATCTGACCAACCTAAAACGTCTTCGCATACTCCGCGGCCACCATAGCAGCAGCCAACTGAGGCGCAAGACACTTGCTGGGCTGGCGACCTCTGCATGCCCACCGTTACTTTGGCACCACAACCGCGATGGGTTGAGCAACGCATTGTCCTTCGTTGATTGGTCCAGAGGGAGCGTTGCAATTTGCGCGGTCCAAATCACAGCGAGGGGGATGGGAGGAGAAGGAGGGCAGGGAGGAAGTGTTGTTGTGCCATCCCTCCACTCCCCTCTGCACCCCCCCCCATCCTCATGCATCCCCAGGAAAATCCAGCATAGTTTAATTTCGCTGTTATTTCACAATGTGATGTTCCGCAGTGAGACCATTCACAAATGATGGTGGTTTCGATCGTAGCCCGCACTCTCTTCCAGCTGTGTCTGCCAGGCATTTGATTCATTGGATTCAGATTTGGGGTATTTTGGTGTCCCAAACATGGGAAGAAAAAGTTTGCCAACTGTTTTTAACCGAAAAGTAAATCGAATCATTATTATTGCATCGTGTGGCGATGTTTGTGAATTTATCTCATTGTTTTTTTGTTCTCAATAGTAATGATTTGTCTCTGATTTGGGCATGCTGCGTTTTAAGTAGGCTTCTTGTAAAAATATAAATAAGATACCAACAAGAACTGTTGCTTTTTCACATTAATTCAATTTTGCATTCACAAAAATTAACGTTTCATTTATGGGATCATTTACTGTATTTATAGTCATTACCTGGTTAGTCATATAGGCTACAATTTAGGCGTATATGAAGCGGTGCAATAAAAACGTTAGAGCTTTAGATCACTGTCTTACCTTGTGATTTTGTTAAAAATGTAGCCCATAGTACTGTAGGCCTTTTTCTTTCCGCAGCATGTGTTAATCTTTGCGTTTTGTTTTTTAAAACCCACAACAGGTTGAAAGAGATTTTTTTTTATGGACAAAGTTGTATATATGCATTTAGTGGGATTCATAAACAGCAGTTCCCATGTGGCGTTTTGACTTATTTATATTATAATATTATAATAGATTCTCTACTTCCTCCAAAGTCATGGTGCAAGGACACAACTTGCTGACTGCCAGCTAGGTATATTTGTTTAAAAAAAAGGTCCACAAACTGGTAATTAGACTGGCAAACTGGTAGCACTAAAATGGGATGTCTTCCCTGTCCAGTGCATGTTTTTATATCCTGATTATTTTTAAAATACCCGGTCATTTTTGCGAATGTAAATTATTGTATATTCATTCATACATTATTTTATGAACTAGATGCTCAGCTGAAAAGCTTGAATGAGAAAGGCCTACTAAAAGCAGAAACTCGAACAAGTGTATAAAAAGTTAACTTCCGAAAAGACACACAGGTTCCTGTTCGGTCGTTGTGTCAGTGCACACACGCATTCAGTGCAGTCTCTGTTAACCATTGTCAGTGTGGCTCTGCTTGTGACTGACAGAAAGGAAGACACATTTGACAACAGTGGGTATTTACAAAGAACAGAAATCAGACAGTTTTTGTGCTTCATTTTTTATTTATCTATTATGTGAAAAAGTGACAAAGTTGGAAAGATTTGTGGCTTTTAAATATAAATGTTTGCAAAAATATGTGTGTATTTAAACATACAGTACAGTACACGAACAGCTTCCGGCCTTGCCATGCGTGTCTGTTGTTCTCCTGTAGAAGCTCCTGAACAGATTTATAAAAAGGATATAATCACGGTCTCTGCGGCTCTTATCTTTGGATGCAGTCAGCACTCCCCTGCGGCATTGTGGGTTATTGCACGATTCAGTATGAACAGGGTGAATTTACGTTATTAACAAACAGTCTGATGTATCAGTCTCCATCAGTCATTACACCAAGCCGGTCATCTGCGACCTTAGCATGCTCATGGAGTGAGCAAACGAGGACAGGGGGTAGTTGATGGAGCTGGAGAAGCCCCCGACGGCTGGAGACACTGGATGTCCGTTCAGGTTGAAACCCAGTGCGGCGGTGGGTGCGGGTCCCGGGCCCTCGTGATACAGAATGGGGACCCGGACAATCCGCTGGGTCGAGTGTGAGATATGTGCAGCCTCAAGGTCCGCCGCCAGCTGTCTCTTCCATTTATTCCTCCGGTTCTGGAACCAGATTTTGACCTGGGTCTCTGTCAGGTGTAGAGACGCTGCCAGGCCCGCTCTCTCCGAGCTGCTGAGGTACCGTTTCATGTCGAATGTGGACTCCAGCTGAAACACCTGACTGCGGCTGAACACGGTCCGGGTCTTCTTCTTCCGGTTGTGGCTCGGGTCCGAGGTTGCGTCTTGCTCTGAGTGTGCGTCAAAAGCGTTGTGCGCGTCCTCGCTGTCGTCTGTCAGGTTGCTGTCACCGGTTTTCCGGTCGGTTTCGTCGCTGCCCTCGGTTATCGGCTCAGAGACGGCGGGGGAGCATCTGTCACTGGTTGATATGGAGCAGCAGTGGTCGTCTGTGTTCTCCCTTGGACCTAAAAGGAGACAGAACAAGAGCATGGCTGTGCTTTAAAGATAACTGAGGGAAACCCCAGTATTTGCTCAGTAGTTTTAGTTCTCAGCCCGTCTTTCTGGTATATTGTTGACCTTAAAACGAACACAAACGTTCACCCTTCTACTTCTGCATGGCGGAATACAGACATCAAAAATGGTGCACCAGAAGAAAATGAAAATTTGGAAGAGAGAAAACGTTCCTGAGATGTTCACTTAGCCAATGTAAATATTTTCTTTTGACATAAAATACTAGTTTTGTGTGTGTGTGTGTGTGTTTTGCAGTTCATCGGTTACCAGAAAGTTTGGGTGCGCATGGGCAAAGCAAAAGCGTTTCTTTTGGGTTGCATAATGATACATGTGAGGAAGTTGTCAGGCCCAATTATGACACAGATAATAGTGTAATGAAGAGATAACAGTCTACCAGAGGGAAACCAACCAAATCTGTGCAGCTTAATAACATCCAACACGTTAATGCCCATTTACTGTATTTAATATGGTGGCACTGGTATTGAATTGTAAACATTGGGGTGGTGATTGGAATTTTACAATCAAAGAATGTGACTGTACACACTAAAGGGAGGGGCACTTTGTTTTGATGTGAGGGCCACAAATGCCACGGAATCTGCGTAAAAGCGTCATATTGACGTGCAGTGCTCGGCCTCTGTTTTGGGTTGTATTCTGGCAGTTGTGCGTAATCTTCAGATTGGGATACGGATCTCTGGGTGACAAGCAACCACGAAATATCATCTGGTTTAATACAGTCGAGTTAAATTGCTCGTATGGTGATCTGACATGAAAAACATACAGTCTTACACGTGTTTACAACCGATTCTGTGCGAGAAAACAAACCAAGTGCACGGTAGCATTTAAACCAGTTAAAGAAGCTTGGTGGGGTAAACGGAGAGAAGAGCCACGACTGCAGCGGTCAGACTCCGCACTAGACTCGCCCTGACTTTGTTGGTTTTATTTACTAAAGCCAGAAGAGTTTCCATACACTGGCTCGACTCCATATGCTTCTAATAAAGCCACCGTAATAAATGTCCACCAAATACATAAACGACCTGCGGCGCGAATAATGGCATCAAACAGCACCTACTGCTGTTCTTTTTTAACTTTTTAACTTTAAGACTCTGACATGAGATCATCTGATACACCAGTTCCACAGTTTATTATTATATCAGTTGGTGTAAGCCAATAGTGTAATAGTCACCCTGCTAACATTACCGCAATAGCTGCCTTTTGAGTGTGATGATGCGCCCCCAGTTTAATTCGTTGCATACAGTTTGAGGACTCATAGAGGCTCATCTGTACTCACTCTGCGGTGTTTCCAAACCCCTGAAGTTGAAGGCAGTCCCCCCGCGGTACCACTGCAGCGGTGTGTTTCTGTACGGGGACCCAGCCGTGGAGCCGGAGCCATCGGGCGCTGGAGCGCTCCTGTCGGCGTGAAGTGCGTTCGGGACCCGGCCGGTGGAGACCGTCTCCGCACTGGCTTCCCCGCGACCGCCGTCCGACATAGACTGCTGCTCATTCCGTCCTTTGCCCAGGAGGTTCTCGATGAAAAACGACGACGCCCTCGATGAGGTGGGAGTCTGCTTTTCTGTTAGCTTCTCCGGCATGTTTTCTTCCCCCGATTTCACGGCGCTTTTACCCCAAAACCGAGCGGCTCCTGTCTTGACTGTGCGTTAAGGCAACCAGGAGTCCAAGCAGTCATTTCCAGCGTTGCTGCTTTTGCGCTGCGAACGGATGAGGACTCATGGCAGAGACGGGACGGGGATCTCCTCGGTGCCAGAGGGAGACAGGGAGACGGAAGCAGTAGTACAGTGAAACGTCAAGTCAAACGCTTAACGAACCGAGGCCATCCAGCGATTGGACGAGCACAATAGCAAATGGGGGTTTTCCAAGGAAAGGAGAAGTACTGTCTCCCTGCGTCAGCCGCTGAGTCCCTGTGTGTGTGTGTGTTTGTGTATATATGTTCACGTGCAGGCCCGTCCCCTCGAGGCCACGCGGCCAGGAGAAAACCTCTGCTCGCGGTACAGCACTCTTTATTTGGGTCAATTAGAGTGCAAATCAAAATAGAGATCCGCCGGGCAGCAGCCATCCCCGGGGTCGAGCCCCCCCTCGGTCCACTTTGACATAGGAAGAGTCACAGTCAGGGAACGACAGTGTGGAGCCTGTCCATTTTAAGGGTGTGTGTGTGTGTGTGTGTGCGCGCGCTGAAGTAGTTAATTTGCTCCTTCATACCATCATTATAGGAATGCGGTAAAAAAACAAATCTACCTGTGTTTCATCATTTTAGAGGCCTTTAGTTTGGATAACCTTTGACAACGTTTGACAGCCTCTGTAGGGCGCTGACGGTTCCGTTTTCAGCAGTATGTGCACCGTGGGCCTAAAGCCTGTAACAGTATATATGTGGTTGTTTGTGCTGGTTTGCAGTGGCATGATGACCTCACAGTTGTGCTTTTTGAACGCATGTGCGTACTGAACCACGCATGGCTTGGCAGTGGCACGTGAGACGCTGCGTCCTGGAGATGCGGCTGCTGTCAGAGGTTATCCAAACTTTGCGTAATGGCTCAGATACTCTTGATAATAGGCCTGTTTTTCTGCAGCTGAGCGCGGCGGCGTTTTATTATATCTAATTGCATATTTTCTCCCTTTTCTTTATTCAGAGTTGATCGGCAGAATGATATATTTGTCAATACAGTGTTATTGCAGTGGCCTGCTGTTTCAGTCGAATTATTTATGGGATTGTTTTGCTTTGTTTCATGATGTATAGCATACACTAATAGTAAATTAGGAGGTTGTACTCAGAACTTAATATTAGTGGATTATTACGTCTGTATGTTGTTTTTGTCTTTTTAAAAGAATTATTAAACTTGACATTTCCATTTGACTCGGAGCAACAGGCCTTTGGTTTCATGGGAAATTCGCCTCAAAGCAGCAAATAACCTCCTTTAAAAGTAGTCCGTCTAACCATAAACATCCACACCAAGTCACGTAAAGTTAATGCAGTTGCGCTGCGGGACCAAGGGTGAAACTTTTAATAAAAATCAAAGTAGCCGATTTACAGCTACTCCTGCTTATGTTGACCGTGAAGACGCAAAAGAAAAAGCTCAGATTAAGAAAAACATGTTTCCAGTGAATGCAGCGCTCATCGGGAAGATTAAGATAAGCTTATCACTATTAGATCATATGAAACATTTAAATGAGTGCTGACGGGCGTCTTTACCCTTTTCGCTGAAATGGCAAGACATTTGAGCTTTTTATTTTCCTCAATGGAGTCAGCGGCGCTGACCTTTTAACTCTCTCTCTCTCTCTCT